CAGAAATAATACAACATATGAAGGACACTTCAGAAATACATGTTTAAATTATGATAACATTGGTAAAATGCCCATTTCGCAGTCGTTTATCCCAGCAAACATACCCGCAATGTGCCATGACCATGACTATTTAGAACTTTCACCAGAGGATATATTCTTGAATCAAATAGGACTGATTAAAATTTCATTGGATGAAAAAAAGGAGTTTGCTGCAAAGACATTAAATCAGGCTGCATCAAAGGAGTGGCTGGAGTTGAGATGTTATCGCATGAACTCTTCAGATTTTAGGAGGATATGTAAATTAACAGACAGGACACACTATGAACGTTATGCTTACAACCTCAAATATGCAAACAGCGCCGATAAAACACGGGCGTAATTATGAAAAGGTTGCTGTTGCCAGATTTAGCGAAGAGACTGGACTGTCTGTTGAGTCATGTGGGTCTCAAATTTGTTTGGATCACCCATTCTTGGCATCCAGTCCCGATGGTTTGGTTGGGAGTGATGCTACGATTGAGGTGAAATGCCCATACAAGCCTAGGGACCAATGCATATCCCCATTATCTGTGCCATATTTGAATGTGGATGAAAATAAAATCCTTACTCTAAACACATCCCACAATTATTATTACCAAGTACAGGGGCAATTATTGTGTACCCAATGCAAACTGTGCTATTTTTGTGTTTTTACTCTAAAAGACTTTAAAGTAATTAAAATTGAAAGGGATAATATGTTTATTTCAAAAATGGTTTGCACTCCGTCAACATTTTGGGGGAATTATTTCCGTAAAGCAGTGTTACAATGTTTTTTGTACAAAAATTACATAAAATTTAATTTTGAATCATGAAATAAACTGTTAAACATCCTATATATTTATATCTTCTTTATCAATTTGAAGTGTGGTACATATAAATGTGAAATTAAATTGGGGTTTAAAGTCCTACTTTTCTGTTCCAACCAGGTTAATGAAGACAGGCATACCGTGTGCCGTGGGAAATTTTGCTCAGACAGCGGCATATCTGCCTATCTTCTTCCAATTTCCAACCGCCAAGGGCTCTTTCATGTGCACATGAATGAGTTTACATGACCCTGTTTTTTTTTATCCCATGCAAACAACTTGACACTGGTCCTTGTCAGTATGGATATAATTTAGCATTGACAATATATTTGAAAGGTAACTGAAAATTAATTTATTTAATATATATATATGATCAATAATACCATTTGTGTCTGGATATAACTTTGGGTTTTTTTTACATTGGCCAGATTAAGCAGATTTGGAAATAATACCCTCCTTAAAATTAGTAAGCATACAGCATACAAAAAATATCTCTGTTGAGAGATTTGTCTCTCCAATAGTTAATGGCTCCCTCATTATTTTGAAGGTCTTGGCTAAGCCAATCAGTCTCTCAATATGAACGCGTTTGCTAGATATTACCCGATCTCTTTGTACAGTTGTACCATCTAGTCGATTTTTCTTTTTAAAGAAAGATGGTATGTTTATGGACACATCAAAAGAGGCAAATATGTCTTGCACATTGAATCCTTTATCTGCCATAATCGAATCAAGGGGATCACAATGTGTCATTAAAGAACTTCGTTCAACTATCTGACGGTCACTAGTCGATCCCCCAAAAGCCTCAGACACATAGGAAATTAACCCTCCGGGTGTCGCACCAACTTATATTTTAACAGTGTTCCTATTCTTATACGTTGAAAAGGTTGCTTGTTGTGCAATTGGAGGCTTTGGTTTTTTTACTGGACATTCAGTTCCATCAATTATTACCCGAGTTTTAGGAAATTTCTCTCGGAAATTTGTTTGCTGAAAGAAAGATACTAAATCTCTTGATGGCCAAATTTTCACTTCCTTCCATTGGTGGTACATAAAATTAATCCACGTGATAAAAATGTTCGATACAGTTGTTTCACTTATTTCAAACATGTCAGCTAAAACAAAATTTGTCCAATGCAGACGCAGTTTGACAAGTGTTAAAAATAACTGGTTTTCGATTGAAACATTCTTTATTGCATGGTAGTAGTAATTTAGCTCATATGCAGCTGGACCAAGGGAATTTAAGACTAACCGAAACTTCTTATATGAATCACATCCTGTGTAATTTAGGATTTTACTGTTGTTATGCATGAAGCGCTCTATTGAAAAGGATGAATACGGGTCTGTTTGAGCACTATTTTCACAGAGTTTTATGGTGGGAGGTGTTTCTGGTAATACTGTGTTTAGTTTCAACTCATGTTCAGTATTATGATCACTGCATTCTATTTCAGATCCTATGTCACATAAATCATTACCAGGCATTCCTTTTAGGGTCAGCGGTGAATCTGGGATACCTTTTCTTACAGCTCGTTCTGTTGCCCGTTGTCGACGAGCTTCCTCACTGTCTCTAGCTGTCCTATTCCAAGCAGAGATACTAGGAACACTGGCTAGTTTCAATCTCTGCACTAACGGCTTTGTACCTTAAAAAATTGAAAAAACAAATTATGATAATATGATGGGGAAATATAAACGTTATTACATAAATAATAAATTAAAATAAGCCTACACTTGAAAAAAATTATGATGATGAAATATAAAAATTTTCATTGTTATTTATAAAAATTAAAATAGACCTACATTTTTTTCTGTACACATGTACCATACCACTCAATGTAGTGGAAGAAACTTTATACTTCTTTCTTTGTATTGTCATTTGTTTCATTTAATTAGGGTGGTAATTAACCTAGAACACCCCGGCACTTGTTAATGTAATGTCAATTATTTAATGGTGACATTTTCTATTTTACACGTGGCATTCTGTACGTACCGGTATTGATAAAAACATAGCCCACATCTCGGATCCTGGCATATTAAAATTAAAACCTAGATTAACTATTTACATTGTTAGTTTCATACGAATTTTACTATTCTATTGTTAGGCCTATTGTTAAGTGAAAAAAAGGAACTTACTGTGGGTAGTCTCGGATATATAATCAGCTGGACGAAAATGTGAGGAGCAGACAATACTGTATTTTGACGGTGTCCAGCGATCTCTACGAATGGCGACAATCCACTTTCTTGTTAAGTTCTGATCCTTGGGAAACCTATGACCACCCCTGTTCGAACACTTCGGAACACAACACAAAGACGACGGCATATTTGAATAAAAAAACGATGTCAACAAACATGCGTGTGACGAATTGCCTCTGGTGATCAAGGGAGATAATTCATTAAGTCCCCAATGTTCTATGGCGCCCTCTAGCGGCCTTTGTTTCAGCGAGAACCCTCATTAATTAGCACCTTAGTGCCAGCTAGTGGTCAGGAGGTTAAGATTGTTGATTGGATAATCATCAAAGAAGCCGCCACAGTTGTACGCGTGTTCATTTAACACGTGAATTAAAATAAGATTTTGCGTGTACGTTTACTTGCGTGCATTTTGGCTTTGATGTAAATATCAACATTATTCAGAGGATACTCAATTGCAGACTGAGAATCGTCGCATTTCGGCTCGTTGGTCATTCTCATTTTTTCGACCCATTGTGATAAGAGAATTTTAAACAATAATATCCCAGATGCATTCCTTACTTTTCATGCCGTATGAAGAAGCGACGGTAAACAGAATTCAGCTATCAATAAAATTCTCTTCGAAAAGAAAATTATTGGCCATTTTGTTTATTTCCATTTAAGGCCTATAGATTATTTTTTTAAAGATGATATGAGATATCAAATAATCACCACTTGGATTAATTATTTGTAGTAATAATGAGTTGTCGACGGCTTTATCATTGACCCGTGACAGTTGATTAGTAATAGTATTACTCAATGACACACACCCGCTTGTCGATTAATTTACATCATCAGCCACGTGGTTTCGATTAACACTCAACGGCAATTTCTACGATCAGAATTATTTTTTTTTTCTGCCACTTATCAGAGTGAATCGCATGTAGGTACCCAAAAACATTATCGCCAAAACCAAATATTTATGGATAATGTCTTGCACGCGGTGTCTGGAGCCAATCGGTAAAGGAGTAGGTACTCAAAAACATTATCGCCAAAACCAAATATTTATGGATAATGTCTTTCACGCGGTGTCTGGAGCCAATCAGCAAAGGAGTTGTGTGGACAGCATGGCAACAGGCGGAGTTTATTTATATTTTGGAGGGTTTTAAAACTCGATTGTATCCGTTCAAAATCAATTCATCAACAATATTTTGATCATATTTATAAACTAGAGATGCTCTGCTTTACAAAGATGCCAATTGTTATGCAAGAGGAATGACCGGTCGTCCCGCTGCAGGCAAAGAAAAATAACTAATTTCGCCGAGAATTTTAAGAAATAGGACATATTTAAGAATACGGTACTCTTACAAAACGTTCAAATACAGGTTTTTTTAAAATGTTTTATTGCTATTTTGATCTTCTGTGTCGATAGATAGTATATTTATACTCATTTTTGTGAAAATCTCAATTTCGTTCAAAATCAATATTTTCACTTATTTTGTCTTTATCTCATTATTGATTCTCGCGCATTCCGACTCATTTAGATGCGGCTGGTCACAATTATCTTGCGAAATGAATGAAATTATACTGTAAATAAACTTGTATTCCTTTCAGCGTACAGTAATGTTTAGATATATAACACAAGAATTAGTAATTATTTTGTGAATTCCTACAAATGACTTGAATAAACTAAGCATGAGGTGAATGTAAAACCTTGAAATGTGATGTTTATGATAAGGCACTTGATACTTCAACAAAAAAAGGGGGATCACGGTGGGTAAGACGCTGGCTCGCTAGCCTGGAGGTCAGGTATTCGATCCCTGCATTATGAAATGAAATGAAATGAAATGGGGTTTAGTGGGATGTTAAACCCCATTTCATTTAATTTTGACAAAAAAACACAAAAAATTTTTTTTTTTGAGAGATTGCCTGAGAACCAGAGAGATTCTCCCCCATGCTACTTATTATATATATTGGCCTTGTATTTATTGTTTTATATTTTAGCTAATGATAAATGAAGGTTATGCTGCTACACAAGTAATCAATCAGTTACATGATAGAATAGTTATATCAGAAGAATTAACCGATACACAGAAGTCAGTTATCTGTGAAAAAATAGCAGTAAGTAAAGAATTGATAGATTATTTATTTATTGGAAGTCACGGTATATTTTTTTATACGCCCACATTTTCATATGGACGTATATTGTTGTAGCCCCTGTCCCTCCGGACATCGTCTGTCTGTCCACATTTTGTTTGTGGACACTCTACAGGTTACAATCCTTATCTGATATTTACAAAACTTGAAATATAGGTTTATCTCCAAAAGATATCGGTTGCTTTCGATATTGGCATATATCGGATCGAAACTTCATGGATTATGGCCCCTGTTTGTATGAAAAATCACGTTTTTAGCTTGTGGACCTTATAGATGTCACAGTTTTAATCCTATTTTGATGAAACTTGAAATGTAAGTTTACAACCCAAAGATCTCGGTTACTTTCGATATTCGCGGATATCGGACCGTAACTTACTGATTTATGGCCCCTGATTGTACGAAAAATCACGTTTTTAGCTTGTGGACCCTATTTTGATGAAATTTGAAATGCATGTTTATAACCCAAAGATCTTGGTTGCTTGCGATGTTCGTGCATATCAGATCGTAACTTCCTGAATTATGGCCCCTGATTGTACAAAAAATGGCGTTTTTAGCTTTGAGTCGGTCTAGAGGTCACAATTATTATCCGATTTAAAACACCGTTTGAATATATCACCTTTACACCGTAATGAAGGTTGAGTTCGAATTTTGTGAAAATCGGACCAAAACTGCTAGACAAAATGGGCGCCCCTTGTACGCAAATAGTGTAAACATCTAGTATATTAAGGTTGTGGACCGTTTGGAGGTCACAATTTTGTGCCGATTTTGATGACACTTGAAATTCATTTTAATAACCCAAAGATCTTGGTTCCTTTCAATATTCGCGCATATTGGATATAAACTTCCTCAATTATGGCCCCTGATTGTACGAAAAGTCGCGTTTTTAGGATGTGATCCCTCTAGATGTCAAAAGTTTTATCCGATTTAAAAAAACGTTTGAATATATCACTGTTACACCCTTACGAGTCCAAATTTCGTACAAATCGGACCAAAACTGCCAGACAAAATGGCTGCCCCTCTACGCAAATAATGTAAATACATGTATGTGGTGTATCAAGGTTTTGGACCCTCTAGAGAGAGGACACAATTTTGATCTGATTTTGATGAAACTTTAAATACATGTTTATAACCCAAAGATCTTGGTTCCTTTCAATATTCATGCATATCAGATCGTAACTTCCTGAATTATGGCCCTTGATTGTACGAAAAATCAGTTTTATACGCCCACATTTTCATGTGGACGTATATTGTCGTCGCCCCTGTCCGTCCGTCCACAATTGTTTGTGAACAGTCTAATGTATGATTATAACCCAAAGATCTCGGTTCCTTTCGATATTCGCGCATATCGGAAAGTAACTTCCTGAATTATGGCCCCTGATTGTACGTAAAATTGCGTTTTTAGCTTGTGGATCATATAGAGGTCATAATTTATTATTATATCACCGTTAGACCCTAAGGACGGCTGAGTTCAAATTTCGTGAAAATCGGCCCAAAACTGACGGACAAAATGGCCGCCGTTCGTTCTCAAATAGCGTAAAAATATGGTATATCAAGGTTGTGGACCCTATAGAGGTCACAATTTTTATCCGATTTTGTTGAAACTTGAAATGTAAGTTTATAACCCAAAGATCTAGTTTCCTTTCGATATTCGCGCATATCGGATCATAACTACCTGAATTATGGCCCCTGATTGTACAAAAAATTGCGTTTTTAGCTTGTGGACCCTATAGAGGTCATAATTTTTATCTGCTTTAAAAAAAACGTATTATTATATCACCGTTACACCCTAAGGACGGCTGAGTTCAAATTTCGTGAAAATCGGCCTAAAACTGAAAGACAAAATGGCTGCCCCTCGTTCTCAAATAGCATAAAAATATGGTATATCAAGGTTGTGGACCCTATAGAGGTCACAATTTTTATCCGATTTTGTTGAAACTTGTAATGTAAGTTTATAACCCAAAGATCGTGGTTCCTTTCGATATTCGCGCATATTGGACCGTAACTTCCTGAATTATGGCCCCTGATTGTACGAAAAATCGTGTTTTTAGCTTGTGGAACCTATAGAGGTCAAAATTTTTATCCGATTTAAAAAAACGTATTATTATACAGGGATGTGCCCAGAAAAATCTTCATGCCGGGCGGTAATCTTCGGCAGAAAATTACCGTTTTTTTCCGATCGAAAATGCGCAATTTCATGTTTGACTCCAAGCTGTCAAAATTCACAACGGCGTCATAGTATTTAGCGAAATTGCCGTAGAACTAGGGCATCTTAAGCAGGGTAATTTATTTAAGAATATGACAATGGAATTTGCCGATGTTGACACTAAAACCGCTCTTGTATACCTGCGTAATCCAGGGCATATTCTAAAATAGGAATTTATTGTTTTGTTTCTTTCCTGAGTTCTTGTGACTGCATTTTTCTATCGAAAACACAAGTCGGCATTCGTTCAGTCGTAGTGGTACCATGGAACGTATAGGGTCCATTGTCGTGCGGTTACTCAGCTAGTTGGCAGTCAAGTAGCACTAGTAGCCAATTTTATAACAATGAATTTCACACCGTCTTTGCACGTTTTCATCTGTCTGTCACTAGTTTATAGCATTATGAAGTATTTATATCTAAATAAATAAAACGTGTGTCCCCCAAGTCATTTGACTTAATTCTATCGTAACATTATGAAGTATTTATATCTAAATAAATAAAACACGTGTCCCCCAAGTCATCTGACCTAATTCTACCGTAACGTCACGTGGCTGGAATGGAGTGCACACGGCTCGTCTGGTTTATTTAATCATTTAAAAAGTTTAAAACAATTTCCAGAAATAACGGCTGTGAATAATTTACTGGAAAATATGACCAAATCAAATAATTAGGTCGGGAAAATATGTCATATATTATAATTTTTAGCGCAATTAATAGACGTGACGTGAGAAAGGAATTTCAGGAGGGGGGGGGGGCGTTACATGTCCGCCGCACGAGGTTCATGTAAAAATGTCATACACGCACATGTGTGAAATCGTCTTTTGATAATCAAATTATAACCGTATTACAGATATTTTATAACCGGAATTCAACACCTCAACGGCGAAGTATTCATTTAAAATGCAAGTTTTAGTTTGGTACCATGAAGGCATGATGCTTATATTTATTTGGTGGAATTTACGTGGATACGGATATTACAATTTATAGTGCACGAATATACGTGTCGCGGACTTGCAAGAAATTGTGGGCCTCCTGATTTCGAAGAAATAAGACGGATTCATATTACGATATTTATAAATCCATATGTACTGCGCTAGTAGCCTGCGTAAAGCCCTAGTGCTAATTTTAAACAATAACGGTGCAGTAGGCTAGTTTAACCAGTCGTGATAGTTACGTCGCACTGATGTGACCAGTTAAAAGAGTCTAAATATCAGATAACTCAAGCGTCAAATAAGAAATCGAAAGTAAAATATAAAATATAAAGGAAATTATAAAATGGTAAATTTTATGAGTTAATGTTAAAAGGTAAAAGGTAATTAATGTTAAGAGGTAAAAAGTAATTTAATACTGTTTGAGAATTCTGATGATTAAAGGGACACATCAAAGTTTATTGATAATTAAATGAAGTTAATTTTAATTAAGACTAAGAGTTAATAATAAGGTTAAGAAATAATGTTAGAATATTGAAATAAAGTTTTAAATTAGGACTACTTAGTTTTTGGTCTGATGACAATGACATGTTTGATTTGAGGATGAATGAATTTATCCCAACTAAGTCGTCAAAGAAGAAAAGAAGTGCTTATTGAAAATTTGTAGAAGTCGGGACTTCTGACAAACGAGATACCTTACTTAGAAGAAGAAGACGGTGGTAGCTGAAACAGACCAATGGAAATCCAAGAGGACGAATTGCAGAAGACAAAGTGAAACTGAACTTTAACAACATTAAGTGAAATGTAACAGTATTTTACAATTAGGCCACATTTTAGTTATATTTTTCTGTGTTTAGGTTAAAGTAGTAAAACAAAGAAACCTATTGAATTTCAGCAATTTCTGTTAATTACATCTAGAGTTATGGTCCTTGTTTCACTTTGTTGAATCTTGTGAATGCTCTAATGACAAAAGTTATCAACTGATCTGTATGAAATTGATATGCATCATTTAAATTAGTGAAATGAAGAATCCTATTGAATTTCAGCAATTTCCATTAATTTCTTGAGTTATGGCCCTTTTTTCACTTTGTTGCACCTTGTGAACGCTCCAACGACAAAAGTTATCAACCGATCTGTATGTAATTTATATGCATCATTTAAATTAGTAAAACAAAGAAGCCTATTGAATTTCAGCAATTTCCGTTAATTACCTTGTAAATGCTCGAACGACAAAAGTTATTATCTGATCTGTATGAAATTTATATGTATCATTTAAATTAGTAAAACGAACAAGCCTATTGAGTTTCAGCAAATTTCCGTTACGGCCCTTGATTTACTTTGTTGAACTTTGTGAACGTTCGAACGACAAAAGTTATCATCTGATCTGTATGAAACTTATATGCATTATTTGAATTAGTAAAACGAAAAAGTCTGTCGAATTTGAACAATTTTTGTAGATTACTTCCAGAGTTACGGCCCAGGTTTTAGTTTTTAGAACCTTGTGAACCCTGAAACGACGAAAATTATAATGTCATCTGTATGAAATTGTCTGTTAAATTCCCCTAATTACCTACAAAAGAATAGATATGTGACAACCCTTGTCGACTGCTCGGACGATTTAGCTGCTGTGGGCGTTTGTTTTTTTGCCTGACAACCTATCTTTTATTGTGTTATAACCTGAATCCGTGTATTTATGTTATTGTAGCATGCATATATCAGTGTTTTTATATAGTTGAAGTAGGACTTGAAATATTTAATAGACAAGTAGAAGTTTTTAGTACATGTAACTAATATTAGGGATTATTTAAAGATTGTTCGCGACATGGAATGACAAT